GCGGCGACGCCCCGACGCAGGTCCGGCTCCGGGCGGCTTGGAAAACCCGGGGCGGAATGCCGAGAGCTCCAGCTGGATCGGGGCTGGCAGTGGAGCACAGCCCGGGCGGGGGGCGCGGCGGGCCGGAGGGACAGAACGCGGGCCTGGGCGCGCCTGGGACGCGGCAAGCGAGAGCTAGGCCCAAGGTCACGGCGGACACGGGTCCGGCGCGCCGCCTGCGGGCCCACCGCGGACAAGGCATCGGACTCCAGCGGACCCCGGGGCGCGAATCGGCCGCGGGCCCGTGAGGCCGGGCCCGGCCGCCAAGCGGCCTTTCCTCGCAAGGTGCTGGGTCCGTCGCACGGGGACCACGAAGCAGCGTGGACTCAACCAGGAGGGACACTGTGACACTTTAATTTTTAAACAGCAGTTCAGAGTCTCGGTGTTATTATTTTTCTGGACTAACTGGTCATGTCATTGTGTCAAAACAGTGTCCTGCAAAATACCCAGAAGTTCCAAATCACTTTGACTTTACTGTCATCAGCACACGATTTAAAAATATACCTAAAAACCACCTCTTATTAATTAACAGATGATATGCAATTATTAACTAATAATCTTAGAAAATGAGTATTTTATCACAGTTAAAAAAATAATTACGTTTTCTCTCCAGTCAAGATGGTCAGTCATCTAAATGTTTACTAATCAATGAAACGCCTTGCATTAAAAACAAAACAAAAAACCTGTCAATGTATTTCACAGCTATTTAACCAGTTGTGGAGATGCTCATGGCTCAGGATTATGAAAATGATACAACTTATAAACAGGAAGAATTCAGAGGGAAGCCAATGTCAGTTCCAGAAATGATAGCTTATTGTGTCTTCACAAAATTTAAACAGCAATAAATTGCACCTATTTCATCTCTGCCAGGGAAGGCACAACAGACTGTAAACTGTTGTCACCTTTCTTCCAGAATGATGACCCCTGCAGTGTGGGTGAAGAGAAGCCCCCATAGGTTTTACCAAAAATCCCAGTGTTCCACTACTTGCTGATTGTTAAGTAGTGAAGAACAATTAGAGGAGCAAACAGATATAATTTAACTGCAAAAGGAGTTCAGTGTGAGTGGAAAGACTTAAGAGGAGGCTGCAATTACACTGAGCAGGTTAAAGTGGACATTCTGGGCTTATAGAGGCCCCAGGCAGGAGGCATTTGAATCAGTTCATGCATTTCTTCTTCATTCTATTTGTAAAAATGTATTCTAATAGAAGTGGAAAGCAATGTCTCTTAATATAACATTTACATGTTTTATTTTCATATATGTATTTGTAATTACAGTACAAATTCCTAAGGGTTCAAACTGCTTTGAACCATAAATATGGCAGGATGTCCAGACAGAAAAAAAATAATTTTATTAAATATCCATTATTTATTAGAGGGATCTTAAGGGGTGTTGAGATAAGTATGGAAATGATAAATAGGGAAGCATATCATTTGAAAACAAAGTGTAGTCAATTGAGGCAAAGACATGTTTCCAAGCCAGGTATGGTAGCTCGTGCATAATCCCAGCACCTTGGGAAGTCCAGGTGGGAGGAACACATGAGACCTGGAATTCAAAACAGGCCTGAGCAACATAGTGAGACTCTGTCTCTACAAAATAATAATAATAAAATAATAGGAAGAAAGGAAGGAAAGAAAGGAAAGAAGAAAGAAAGAGAGAGAGAGAGAAAGAGAAGGAAAGAAAGAGAGAAAAAGAAAAAGAAAGAAAGAAAGGTGGTGTGTGCCTGTAGTCTCAGCTACTTGGGAGTCTGAGGTGGGAGAGTCACTTGATTCCAGGAGTTCGAGCCTACAGTGAGCTATGACTGTACCACTGCTCTAGCCTGGGTGACAAAGCAAGACCTTGTCTCTAAAATAAAAAATGAGCAATTCTCTTGGGCACCCTACCCTCCCATCTGGGAGCCTCTCTGTCCTCTCAATAAATCCTGCTTTCTAAAAAAATTAAAAAATTAAAAAAATATATTCCTGGACAGCCCTATTTCAGGTCCCCCCCCCACTGTTGGAGTTTTTCTGTTTTGTTTTGTTTTGTTTTTTGAGTTGGTCTTACTCTGTCACCCAGGCTGGGGTGCAGTGGCATGCTGCTCCCAGCCACCACAGCCTTCACCTGCTGGGCCTCACCTCAGCTTTCCAAGTCACTAGAACTACAGGCATGTGCCACCACACCCAGCTAATTTTTTATTTGTTGTAGAGATGAGGCCTCACCATGTTGCCCAGGCTAGTCTCGAACCCATGAGCTCAGGCAATTCTCTTGCCTCGGCCTCCCAAAGTGCTGGGATTACAGGCATAAGCCACTGTGCCCGGCTGCTTTTCTGTCTTCTTTTTTTTTTTTTTTTTGAGTTGGAGTCTCACTTGGTCGCCCAGACTGGAGTGCAGTGGCCGCTCCCGGCCACCGCAACCTCGCCTGCTGGGCTCAGGCGATCCTTTCGCCTCAGCCTTCTGAGTAGCCGGAATTACAGGCATGCGATACCACACCCAGCTGATTTTTTGATTTATTGTCAAGATGAGGTCTCGCTGCCCAGGCTGGTCTCAAACCCGTCGGCTCAGGCAATCCATTCACCCCAGCCTCCCAAAGGTGCGGGATTACAGGCTGAGCCACCGAGTCCAGCTAAAAAATTTTATTTTAAAGATATGAGGTACAATTCAGGTTAGGTATACCAATGTTAGAACGGCAATTATCAATAACTCAGAAAATAATCGTTGTTGGAGAGGGTGTGGCGAAAAGGGAACACTCCTACACTGTTGGTGGGAGTGTAAACTAGTGCAACCTCTGAAGAAAGCAGTGTGGCGATTCCTAAAAGCTCTAAATATCAACCTCCCATATGACCCTGCAATCTCCCTACTGGGAATATACCCT